TTATGTCATTCCTAATTGTACAGACAACAATTTTAGCCTCGTAGAAATTTTCACGATTATTAGTCTATTGTTCTTTTTTTCGAGCCAATATAGATTATTCGGTCCGAGACATCAACTTCTTAAAATGAGGAATAAAAAGTGCTCCAACGAAATTCACGTGAAATCTAAGCTGACCCACGGTGTACATCTGTACATAGAACATGGCCGCATCGGTCTCAGAGTCTGAGAAATTGAAATCTGAAGGAATAATTGATTTCCTCTGTCCAGAGTGAGATATCGTTCTCTGCAGCTTTCATTAGCCACTTAGCGTAACCGCGTCATTAGCGGGCGCTGGGAAATGCAGCGATCACGTTCAAAAGCTAAAGGTGGCTCGTTTGACACAAAGACCCACGGGGGAGTAATAATTTTCGCTTGTGTTGATAGTGGCCGCCCGATGAAAATACTCGATATTCAACACGACAGCGTTTTCTTCCAACTAACATTTAACTCTTTGGAACACGCGAACACCGAGTAATGATGATCACCAACGACGTTCCCGCTCTCCCCTCTTTCCTCTATATTTCACGGGGGGGTCTGCGTGGTACCACTCGATCCCTATCGCGACTCGAAGAAAAGACTGCGATTATAACGTCGTCGGTTCGAGAAAAGTAACCTTTTTTTTTTTTTATCGAGCCAACGCCACGCGCATGAAAGAATTAATAACCGTGGCTTCGCGAACAAGCCCTAGCGATAATCTAGCCGCGAATATGGAATGGGGGGTGACGCATGGTGGATGATTCCTCGACCAAAAATAAACGTTAGAAATAAAACGCGAGGGTTAAAAATTTTGCGTTGTTCCATATAATTATTTTACACAATTTCGTGTAAATTTGACTGAAGTTGAATCAATTATTTGATCTAAACAAAATATTCGCGTTAAAATAGAGAAAAGTTATAGATGCGACAGATTTTTTAACGTTATCTGAAAATTAACGCAAAATAATAGTCGGCTAAATTCTCTGAATTTATTACACATCGTCTGCGTTAACGTCATCAATTTTCGCGATTTTTAACGTGCCAATTCGTAAACATTTCGACGACGTCAGGATTTTGTTTCGAGACCGTCGAAGATTAGATAATTTAACATTTGTCGTTGTATTTAATTGCTCCACCTCGAATGAATCTTTTTGTTTTCTTAATGAAGAGTCCTGTGACCCAGGCTGACGTGTTAAACTACCCCGGAAATCGGTTGAGCGCGCAGTTGCTTCTGTGATTCCCCGTGCGCCGTCACGTGGCAGAAGTGCGATCACGTGACTTCATAGTATCGTACATTTCGCGAGCACATGCATTCGATACATTATTACTGCCGATCTTTATGCATTTACAGCAAATTCGAATGTTCAAGAAACTAGAAAATGCACACAATATGCAAGAATATAAAAAACATTGAAAGAAAAGTTCATATTATAATATTTGCAGGGTAAAATCTATTTGTGTTCAATTTTTGTAGGCATACAAACAAAGATTTTATTTTGCATAAAGATCCGCAAATTATTACTTAATTTCGACGAGTTCCCTCGGATATTTCTTTGTCACGCTTCGAACTCATTTATCATCGATAGTGACCAAGTCAACCAGCCAGGTTGGCATTACAGTGTTACCAACTCGCACTCGATGCGAAACTACAATTTACTGTAATCTAAAACGCAAATTTACTTCTTTCAACGGCGTTGAATTACTTCGATACTCGCTCGTTTTAACAAAATCAGATATTGCATACTTTCGAGGGAGGAATGCTCGAAGTGTTCCAACTAAAAATCGCATCGAGACTCGATCAACCTGTAGAGGCCAGTTCGCGGTGCGCCAACGTGACTACAAAATATCGATCCGAATACCTGTTAAATGCAAACTTTAATTAGATTCGACGGTCGCTGTATGATTAACAATAATTTTATATCCGCAGTAATTTCCTGTTCCAATTTCTCGACGGACAGTGAACGCAACCTCTTCGTGTCAGCGGTACGTTAATCTCCCTGTTTAAGGATGTCGGTTAAGGGCTCAGCTAATAGCAGCATTACCGACATCATTTAGAACTAATTTTGGATGTCTCGTACCATGCGATCGCGAAATCGAATGTCGTAAAAAAAAAAATGGAAAAAAAATGTACTCTGAAGGTCGTATCGATAAGATCGATAGCAAAACATATGGAATTAAAAAGTGTGAGCCTCGCTGTTCCGAGTATGATACGCTATGTTTTTTCTAAGGTGACGTTAGCATTATCAAGATTAAACGTTACTGGTTCACCAGGCGTACCACTATCAAGTTTAATGATATAATTTAACGTACTTTGGGACAATCTTCGATAACCTTCAACGTGTCGCGATCGTATCAGAATTTTGATAAATTTCTAATACGGGTCGAGGGCGTCGCTGGTACCTCGCAATTACTCTATAACACCTGGGATCTCCCCTGTAGAATTATACGTTAAACGTTGATTATGTTGAATCTTATGTTAGACGCCTTACTAAATACAGTGAGTGTAGAAAGTATTCGTACATCGATCAATTTCCAAAAAGTCTATGTGAAATTGTAATTTATTAACTTTTTTTTTTATAAACAATGATATTTTATATATTCTTGGAAATCTCTAGAATGGATACAGTACAAAAAAAGAACAGTTATTTATATAAGTTGCGAAATTATAAAGAAAAAACATAAATCGATAGAAATATAGAAGCAATAAGTATTCGTACAACTGTTTAATTCTTAAAACTTCGTACAAAAAAACGTAATTTACATTAATTTATAAATAATTAATACCTCGTGAGATTTTGCTTTTGATTTTATAATTACTACTGCTCCTTTAGGCATTAAATTACCTAAATGTCGATGTTATTCGGAGTGGGATGTTCTTCCATTTCTCTGTCGGAGCCATTTTTAAAATTACTTGATTGAAAATTGAATGCTTTCTAATTCGTACAAAGCAACAAACTGATGTGTTTATGTTACAAACTCTACTGTGAGTGGTTCGTCGCAAGAATCGTACAAATACTAGGGGTGCGCGAGATCCCGGTCGGGACGGGAATTCCTCCCGGGATCGGGATGGAATCCCGAAAATTTCAAAATTATGAATACATCCGAGATTCCCGTGAATTTCCGGGATCCCGAAACCATTCGGGACTCCCGAGAATTTCGAGATCCCGTAAAAGTTCGGGTTTCCCGGGAATTTCGAAATCCCGTACGTTCGGATTGCTGAAATTTTCAAGAATAACAACACTTTCGGAAATCGCAGATTGTCGGGAATCCCGAACATTTTCGAGATGCCGTACATTCTCGGGAATCCCGGATTTTTGTGGGATCTCGTCTATTCTCGGGAATCCCGGATTTTTGCGGGATCTCGTGTATTCTCGGGAATCCCGAATCAACTCGGGATCCCGCATAAACTCGAAAATCCCGAATCAACTCAGAATCTCGCATAAACTCGAGAATCCCGAATCAACTCAGAATCTCGCATAAACTCGAGAATCCCGAATATTCTCGGGAATATCGAATCAACTCGGGATCCCGCATAAACTCGGGATCCCGCATAAACTCGAGAATCCCGAATATTCTCGGGAATCCCGAATATTTTCGGGAATCCCGCACACCCCTAAGAAATACCTATTGCTTCTACATTTCTACCAATTGTTCGTACATTCTTGTTAATTTCGCAAATTATATAAAGCAGTAATTGTTGTTTGGATATACTATATCTATTCTAGAGATTTCTGAAAATATGTAGAATATCATTGATTATACAAAAAGAATTTAAGAAACCACAATTTCACCCAAATTTTTTTGAGGAAATTGATCGGTGTACGAATACATTCTACACTCACTGTATTAAGTTTAGATGAGAACTTGAGGTAGCTTCTCTACGTGTTCAGTTTCAGATTTATATGAATTATGTCTCAGTAACGACGCGGTCAATTGTTATTTTTTTTTTTTTGTAATGGTTTATAATATTGGCTTCTATAACATATAAAGTATTCAGCAAGTTCCTAAATTGTATTTTCATTTAAATTGAACAATGTAAAAATCTGTATGTTCCAAAAGAAGCTATGTTAAAATTACAAAAGTTGATATCATTTTTTATCAAACTCGGATGGTCGATAATCGTTATTTTATTTTTTTTAAATGGTTTATAATTTCGAGGTTTACAACATATCCAATTTTAAATTGAATAAATTCCATGAGGGTATGTGTTATAATTACAAAATTCTAACGTCGTTCTTCATAAAACCGGGGTGGTCAATTTAAGGAGGCTCTACAGTTACGCTGTAAGTCAATATAGAGTTACTATTGTCGCTTGATTCACGTAGTAGTAGATCTGGCATAGTATTTAGAATATTACAATTGTTCGCAATTTTATATCCAAATAAAAAAAAAATTATGTTAAACATTGATTTGTAGTCGTTATTATATCTATTACATTTATATTGTATCGTAAAGTAATATAAACCAATTATTTTCAGACAAACTACAGTACTGTTCGTATTTAGTATTCCTAGTATTCTTTAATTTATTATTAATATTACAAATACCCTCGGAGTATTTTGTAAATCAATATATGCTCTTCAGATATTTTTCTATTATGCATAAAATTTTCGATCCAATCTCGGCGTCAATTACTTAAACAGTGAAAAATTGAAACATTTATTTCTTAGCTTTTAGGTACCCTAGCCTTCCCAAAATTTGTGCGGGTGTTTTTGGGATAAAACCTAAACCGTATAAAAATTTTTATAATTTTGCTTGGCGTTATTTCTGTTTCCACTAGAGCCTCCTTAATTAAAGAGTCGAATCAACAGTCGAATGAAGTTTTGTTAAAATCCACCATTGAATAAATGGAACTACCTTAACAAAAAGATGTGCCAATTGCGGCTGAAAAAGGAGGAAAATAGGAAAGGGGACACGTGAATCGGGAAATCATGCCGATCCGGCAAGCCACCGTCGGTCGATATAGAAACAGCAAGGAGTAAGAGTAACAGTAACTGGCGCACGTCGTGGCACGCGATCTTTTAGGGTCGGTCGAGATGTTAAGATACTGGTGAGGCCGGTCACGAAACCACCCCTCTCTTTTCTCTGTCGTGGTTCCCTTTGTTTCTTTCGCGCACTGCCGAATCTGACAGAATCGGTCAGCCGTTTGAATATTCCAGGAATTTTCCATAAATTTTCCACGCTTTGAAGCACAATATCCGTTCACGTGGAATGCCATTTAGGCTGACCGAGTACCTCCCCTTTTGAAACGCGTGCAAAGACGTTGTGTACGTTTCAGGAACATTCTTTTTTCCACTTATCGAATAACTGAAAAGAGACATTTGTTAAAGTGAAGTTTAGATAACATAAGGAGACCTGATACTTGAATTAAAATTCTTTTGGAACGAATTACTCGTTGATGAAGTGGAGCGAAATTAGTTTGCATACTCCGGGGCTCTAGTTGAACCTAACAACAGAAGCTAATTTAGTCTAACTTGAACTACATGCCAGAGATATGATCCAGAAGCTTTTCAAAAGGCATTTATCGAATTCTTCACTTGAACTTAGCTTTCCAATCTACCCACCTGACTATCCCAAAATTCAGAGACCTGTTACACGACTCCCAATACAAAATAATACTTTGTATGTACTTTGTTTGCTTCTGTATGACTCTGAATAATTTACTGAATTCCTAGCCTTAAAGACACTATTTTTCAACTAAATTCAAACATATCTCACATAGAACTATTAGGTCTACCGAAAAGTTCTGTCCGTTCCAGTTACAACAAGTTTTTGACAAGTATGCGCATATCCATTAAAAACGACATACAGATTGCAATCATGCAGGCACGAATCTTTTGGCCAACCTTTCTTACTCCTGACAAATAGATCATCATGCTGGCAAGATGTCATAAATAACGATAAAATTATATCGTTCGATAAAATTTCTTCAAGGTAGGAGAAATTTATCATTTTGTGTTATTCTAAAAACGGACAGAACTTTCCGGTAGACCCAATAAATTGAATAATGCAAGAAACAATATAATTCATATATTGCCTGTAAGCACTACTTCAAATGCAGAGATGCACCTGGATGGTTCCAACCAGATGTGTCATTGACACTAAACCTACCAACGTTACGTTTCTATTATATTTCTACAGTGATCAAGTAACTGACTCATCAAGACATTTTTTTCAATTAAATGCAAACATATCGCATGAAACAACTGCATATAATTCAATGTACAATATGTTGCATATAAGAACCTTGTACAAAAGTTTGAAAAGCCTCATATAACCAATCGTGGTAGGTTTAGCGTTACGTTTCCTATCGAACTATTTAATCGCGAGCAAAATCTATCCCCGGTGTCTCCAGGAGCCTGTGACACGGTCGTCGAGCAAAACTAATAGCCTCGAACTATTTGTCAGGTGTAAGAAACGTTGGCCAAAAGATTCGTGCCGGCTGGAATCGCGATAAGCCCCTAATGAATTGTTGTGGCGGGTGTGTATTCCGCGATTGCTATTTTCGGACGGCTCCAGACGCCATCGGGGCCGATAACGAAGACCACCCCGAGCTTCCTGTTAGCGCGGGCCTACTGTTCTCGTTATCGCGTCATCGAAAGCATCCCACCGTGCAACGGCCTGAATTTCTTCGACCTTGGCACGCTTCAAAAAAGCAGACCTGAGGACATCGAAGAAATTGGCGGAATCAATTATTCAGGCGTTAGAAAAGGGGTGCTCGTGGCGCGTGCCTTTCGGCTAGGCATGATTCATAAAAGTTTCAGCTTCGCCAGAATGGAAGCGTTAGACTCACCGTGGATCACAATTGGGCCATCACGTGCTTGAATAGAAGACAAATGAAAGGCCAAATAAAAGGAGATTCAAAAGGCTGTCATCCGGGGGTGAAGGGTCTACATTATCGTTCTTTGAACAAGTGTTATTTAGCAGTGATGATTTCCATGATAAACGCTAGGTGTAATTATTATTCGATAGTAGAGTTATTATTTACAACTTCCTTTGGCATTTATTTCTCATGAAACCTTCCCTCGATTATTCAGTATTTAGTTGTGGCAGGGAAATTGGAATACTCCAAACGATTAACAGTATCCACATCTCCTATGTCCAAGAAGATGGACTCAAACGAGAACACGATTCGTAACGCCTTACCATTGCCTCATTTTTCGTTCAGGCTCCTAAACAATAGTTTCGAGGCTTTCAAGGATTTCTGACCGAGAATAACGCTCGAAATGTCTAGAGATTGTCGTGACGCGATCAAACCTCAGAGGACTCATCGCCAACGAAGGATAACGCTATGCAAATTCTGTCACGATCGATTCACCGGTTCAACCGGAACCGGATAGCCGCGAGCACGCACGCGGTCTCGACGATCTTCGGAATTCGCGAATACAGACTCATTTAGGCTGAATGCGAGTCCATTAATTCCTTGAATGCCAGTCAGGGTTGCTTCTTCGGTGACGAATTTACTCCCGGCCCATCTCACGGCCAAACTGCCAGCAATTGGTTCCTTCTTCTACTGCTTCTCAATCACACTTCTAAAATAAACGATTAAACAACTTGTAACGCTTCGGCTGGGGGCTGTGATTTCTATTCTACACAAATTTTTTTTAGTAAAATTTAATAGATTTACAATTTAACGTGTACACTTTTGGGCGATGGTCAAACATTTTACGAAATTAGGTGCCGGAAAACTTCTCACAGCTTCTTTATTTTCCAGTCAGCCACTCTGTAACGCTGTTATCACAATTTAAAATGTAAATTGCTGTTTACCCGAACCTAAATGTACAACTATTTATGTTTTGTACAGGAAACCGACCGGATGACGGATGGGCGGTGATGGTATGGTTTCACGGAGGTGACTTCAACACTGGCACGCCAGCCATTTGGGATGCGTCAATTTTTGTCAACAAACAAAAAGTAAGCCGATCGTAAAGCATATCGTCTGATAGATAAGATTGTTGCTGCAACGACGATGAAATTTTACAAAATAAAATCGAACTGTCGATTAATCTCAACTTGTTACATTACAAAGAGACTGTTCTGAGAAATAAGGAACCGCCATTGATGTTCTGACCTTAGCACACATTCGCGGAAAGAATTTCTGATTCTGAATCAATGAGGCGAACGTTGAAAGTCGACAGAAAATCGAACGAAATTAGGGTGTTTCTTGCGTGCCACTTTCCCTCAAGGTAAATCCAACCTTTGGAATTGCACTGGCCGCGGTCCATCTATGATGCATGCTTTATATACAGCTATAAATGCTAATTCGGAACCTTTATGAGGAACTGTTACATAAAACTCTTACGCCTAACGCTACGAAGAGATTACTTGCGTAAATTTCCTTCAAAAGAATGCGTTTAACGAGCTCGTAAATTGTCATAAATACAACAGCGTGTTATATCGGGATCGTAGAAGACTTGATTTTGCAACTGGATTACTCGTACAACTTGTTTACGTATATTTGAATAACTCCTTGTGTATTAATAGCTGAACATGTGTCCCCAAATTCTTGAACCATCTGTTTATATTATCTTGAATACTTTACGGTCTCTTCTTAGCAGTATTTCAAGTTTAATATTCCTCTGTTCTCGCGAGCATTACGTGGCCCTAATTCTTCGACTCTTCTTGCGCATTAACCTCGATATTTGACGATTACACGTCAGTGGTACAGTTTAATCTTGCTTTAGGCACTGCGTCCCTAATTCTTGATCCCCCTATGCATATTAACCTCCATATTTGATGGCCACGTACGAGTAGTGACATTTAACGTTTACAGTCCCTTTCGTTAATTCTTCAACGAGCATTCCAGCTTTTGCATATAAACTTTTCTTTTAGATCACCTTCTGCATTCGGTGCCCTCGTCAGAGTCATATTCCACTCGCCATCCATTTCATATCGGAATCTTCACTGTTCAATCAAATTGATCTCGAAACTCATTACAGTTTCTCAGTACTAAACTCTACCTTTACATCGCCTTCGACGACCTCGTCAGAGTCATGTTCCAAGTCTAACGATAACTGCAACAATTAAGAGTTAATAATCAAGAATGTATATAAAACTTTGGAAAAAAAGTTGTTCCAACTAGTCGATGATTTCTCGTAGGTGATAGTCGTGACGGTGGCGTATCGCCTGAACATCCTGGGCTTCTTCACCACGACAGACTCCGAGGCGCCAGGGAATTACGGTATGTTCGACCAGATCGCTGCTCTGGACTGGATTCAGAGAAAGATCCAGTACTTCAACGGATCCCCGTCCAACGTGGTGATCTACGGTCACAGTTCGGGAGCCATCAGCGTAGGTCTGCACCTGATCAGTCCCCTGAGCAAAGGCAAGTTCTCCAAGGCGATCGCCATGAGCGGCGACGCTGTGAGCTCCGTGGGCTCTCCTCGCACGGAGCTGCCCGTGGTGGACATAATCGCTGAGAAATTCGGTTGTTATCGACGGCCCACGTCTGCCCTGATGGAGTGTCTGCGTCGCGTGGACGTGAACATCCTGGTACGCTTGTCTTCGGACATAGAGACTTGGGGTCCGATAGTGGACGTCGAGATCAACAACGCCACGGATCCGTTCCTCCCCATGCACCCCAGAGAAGCGTTAGAGGGTGGTAGCTTGAACAGCGTCCCGTTGATCGTGGGGTACACCAATAACGAGCAGGCCCTGGCCTACATGGAATCCTTGGGCAAAGGGAACGCCAACGGCATGCTGTCGTCCAGTAAATTCGAGATGCTGATCACCGACGACTTCGTTTCCATGGTCCAGAGCCCCGACGACAACAGTACTTGCGAAATGAAGCCGGAGATGGTCGCTGACGCGGTGTTGTTCTTCTATAAACCACATCCTCCTAGCAAGGACGAAGGTGTTCTTCGGGACAGATACCTAGACTTGCAAACCGAGAAGAACTTCGCTGCCGGGTTGACTCTGTTGGCTGGCAAGGTGGCCAAGGAAAAGATGGCTTTCGTTTACAGGTTCGACTATCGTCCCAAGACCCCGTCCGTCACCAAGAACGTGCCCGAATGGGCAGGCGTGCCCCACATGTTCGAGCTTCCTTTCGTCTGGGGACTCCCCCTTGCTCCTGGCAGTTCTATCCAGTGGCAGTTCAGCGACAAGAAGATGTGCGAGGTGATGATGATCATGCTGGCCAACTTCGCCAAAACTGGGAATCCTTCTCCCAATAACATCAAGTGGGAGCCGTACACGGAAGAGGAGCCTGGAATCCTGATCATAGACAAGAACGTCGACATGGGCGACGCTAACGCTGTCGACTACATGGCGCTCGCTTTTTGGAACGAATACTATCCCATGGTTCTCGAGGAAGCGACGAACAATTGCTGCAACATGACCAGCCGCTCTACTACGTGGAGGGAAGCCTCTCGCAGCATTGTTCTGGGCAGTCTTGTCGTAGCTGTGACGTTACAGTGCCTTTAACCGCAGTCGATGTTGGAGATTGTCTTTTTGGTGTGCTCAACGAGGCCTCTTTTGCGCAAACGTTGAACAAACGATGCAAATTTCGATATTTTGGTATACAAACGAATGGGTCCTATCATGTACGACGCCGAGTATCGAGAGCCTCAGTCCGCCAGATTTATTTTGACTCCTCGTTCAAAATCGACAAACAGAAATCGTTGATGTTTAGATAGACATACGCGTCCATCGAGGCGGATTTCGTCGATTTTGAAGTTGGAACAGGTTAGCTACGTAATAATTTGAATGTTGCTTCGACCGTTTTGATATCTGGCTTTGTATGTGTTAGAATCGCAGATGAATACTGTACAAAGTGGATTCACGTCGACGCGTGCATAAAAGAGGCCCAAACATACAACGAAAACATGGACGCATCGGCATCGCTTAGCGATCTATAAAAATAAAATGATAAATTAGTCGCAGAGACAACTGAAACGCTCAAAATATTACAGAGGATGTAGATTTTGTTCCACAAGCGAGGAACCAGGTGGTTTAAGTTCAGGAAATTTTTATCCCGGTATTATTGTAGCGAATAAAAAGATCGAGTACCATGTAATTTGATTTTCCCGCTCGTCGTAGGTCGATGTAATTGGTGTATAAAGGTGTTAAGCGGTCGTTTTTATATAGTCGTTTTCTTTCTACGATAAACAGAATAACAAAAAATAAATGTATAAAAACTGCTTGTGAAATCAAAGAAATTGTTGTAATTCGTTGTTCCTGCAATTATAGTAGCAACTTCCATGGCGAGTAGTTAGAACCAGAACTAATAGTGTGTCGATACTGTTCCGAATGTAAATCGTGTCCTTTAGATACAGGTTTCTAATGTAGACGTCCATGTATTCACCCATCGGAAAGCCTCGACTGATATTATTTGGAAGTAGCCCTGGTCAGTATCTCGTCTGAACTTACACCACTCAGGGTCCATTTGAATCCATTCGACGAAAGGGAAATGGTCTTAGGGTCGGAGCAGGGAGGGAGAACCATCCTGGGATTTTTCATCTGTTTCTTTTCCTCGTATTATTCTTTTTTTGTGTTCTATTTTTGTTTTGTTAACATTCACTGAGAGATTTTTTATTATTTGCTTTAATACGGAGAGATATAGAAAAAACATATATTGTTCGAGAAACAAACGGTTGATATAACTTATGAATATTTTGATGCTTCGATAATAATTAATAATAATAATAATAGTAATAATAATCATCGTGTGTGTGTGTGTATGTGTGTGTGTGTGTGTACCGTCTATGTATAATTATTATATTATATTTAAGAGAGAGGTGCGCGGCGGGCGACGCATGGGGGCTGGTGTGGCCTGCGCACGCGCACGTCCAAACATTTCTTTTTGCTTTTTCATCCTTTCCTCCTAAATATATATTTATATATTTATATATATATATATATTTATATACTATCATTAATTAATCATATTTTTTTCTTCCTCCTCATCGTCTTCTTCTTCTTTAATGCAAAACTCCTACAATGATAACCGACGCCACGGGGTCTCGTTAACACTAAAACTCTTTGTGCGCCTGTGTTTGCGCGTGCACACGAGCCACCCCGGGACCAACGTATATACAACATTATTAGTTTTTCCTCTCGCTGTTCCCCTCCCCATCTTCATCATCGTCGTCATCCCGTTGCTCTCTCTGCCTCCCGCCTCCGTCAGTGTCTCATTGTCACCTTCCTTTTGGTGTTCTACAACCATCTGTATTCTCCGTCTCCGCCCCGCTGTGTTGCAACCGTTTACTCGTGATTCCGTCAGCCCCCTCCTCGTCACCAGTATCTGCTTCGTAGTCGCCTGAACCCCTGTTCTCCACTGGTACATCCGGATTTTTTGTTCAAGCAGGAGAGTGTGGGCTTCTGCTGGATCTCTGCCTTACAGAAGTAGGCACAGCGATTTCTTTTTCTGCTTTATCTTCTTCTCTGGCGACTTTTTGTTGATTTGCCGCACTAGATCGTAGAATACCTGCAATGGAGACGGTATGGTTATAGTAAACTGTGTCGTGTGTTAGGGTAAACTCGAAGGAGGTGCGCTTCGTCCAAGGAACTCCGAGAAGCAGAAGGCTTTGGTATTGGCGATGAACGCTAGGTTGCAGTAGAAGTAGTAGAGAACCTCGACAATGTTTCCATGAAGGAACTGGAAAGTCTTTATAAAAGTATGTAGAGAAGATTCTTTGGGTATTTCTCAGCGTGGATGTTGATACATAAATGTAAATAAAATTTATTTAAAATAATTGTCCCCAGACTGTCTCGTCATTCAGCGATTTCTAATTGCGATTTTCTTTACGCATTATTACAGACGCAACATTGTCACGGTAGTAGAGACAGTAATGTTTACACTTGACTTCCATTGGATTCGTTAATCTCTACGATTCCAATTATCCCCAAACAAACGTTCCTAAGTGGACCCTTAATTGCATTCCATGCAGCATTCAATTTTCCTTTATTCGCCCCAAATAATTACCGCATCGCGCATTGGACAAAAGCTGGCCAGTGTGCTTCCCACTCGACGCCACCAAGAAAACCCGTGCCCCAATTACAACGGCTCAATTGTGGAACGAACGAAATAACAAAAGTAACCAAACGCAAGCACGGGAGATGAATTCTCGAGCAAAGGGAACTCGCACGGAATTGCTCGGAGTACGGTTCAACGAGGAATCTTTAAAACGGACTCGACAAAAGAACAAGCTTCTCCTGAGAAAACATGCTCGCGGAGGGAAACAATCGTTACAGGCAACGGATATCCCCATTTGAAGGCTCCGTAAGATGAGATAACTTTAAAACAACAGTTCTCGGTAACTTCGGATGCGACAGTTTTATGGAGAATTTGTTTACAAGTGGTGCTGGGGCTTCTGAAATGGTTAGAGATGGGAAACCAAGCGAAGGTGTTTTAACTACGAGACTTGGTTGAATTAAACTGGTCTCGTAGAATGGAAACTTCGATTCGAGCTGTCTAGAGATAAACTTTTGCTTTACGTTGCAGGAAATCAAATACTCTCATCAGAAGTGTTACCATCGGCGTTGGCATTCTTTAAAATGACGAAATTGTTACTTTAATTCAAGCTAGCTATATTCCCCATGACTCAAGAAGTCAATCATTGGGACAGAGATGTAATCTTCCTCGTTGTCTTTATTTTTATCCACCGAGTAGTGGACATGTAAATTCTAATTCACAGTGTACATGTCAGAAGCCAGAGACTGAGGACCGTAAGTGGCGAATAGCTGGGAGTGCGAGTCGCACTCCCACACTCAGCACAGTTGCATTCCCACATTCAATTAGAATATCTCGGCCTTCGTAACGGTCTTGAACTCCCACACGTCACACTAATTAGAAAACAACAATGGCCTCTCGAACGGACTACTGTTATTTTGTAACAGCGACTCGGCTGTTTTTAAAAACTTACAGAATAACAACTCAATGGCTCGAACGCGTCATCTATCAAGGATACGGTTGAATTTTCAGTCGGTCATTCGAGATACTTCGTTTTATAATTCAGATTCATAGTATATGCGATAACTCAATGGTTTTTAAATACGTAAATAGAGAAAGGAACGTACCTGGCATATCTTAATATGATTGTCAATCTCTCTCATCGCTTCGGGCGAGTCGTCGTAAATAAATTCGGTCGGATCATTTGCTGGAGATCGCGGATAAGAGTCCTGTTCACCGAATATTTACTTTTCTTTTCTTTTCAATTGCATCAACGGTACATAAAGATACGCGACAGTACAAACACACAATAAATGCTACCTCGGCGTAATCACGCCTCTCTTTCGCCGCTCGTGGGAAAGCAATGTAAGTTATCAGGTTGGCAGCAAATGATGCGATGGAGTACGATAACATTTTGAAGCAAATATATAAGATAAAGCAATAGGGCGTTACAAAATATATCAGCAACAGAGATAGGGACACGTTTAAACATAGAATCAGATCTGACGAATTATTTCAAGGGGTAGAGTTTATAAGAAAATGTTGATGGGTTAATGACGATCAATAGGCGAGCATTAAGGCATAGAGACTAAGAATCTGTTTGTAAAAGAGAAATGATACATTCGGGCCATGGTCCATTTTTGCTAAAAATGTAAAGGAAATGAAAAATGATGACCTCCAGCACGTGAACCCCCAATATCCACTAGGACCACTTCGATAACAGAGACCTATCTATAATATCCTAACAATTGAATCCTATTCCGACTCTACACTTACGACTCGTCACAAACAAGAGTCTATTCTCGAGGAATCAATTTTTTTAAGAAGAATAGGTTCCAGCGTTTCACATGCTCTATTCTGCGTCGTGTCAGCTTATTGCCTTCCAAGAATCAGCACCCCCTTCAAAGTTTTCCAACACCATCCATAGAGACAAAAGACAGGGGGATCCTTGCGGTGGGAAGCTCGCTTCTACTCACATCGTAAACATTAATTTTGGCTTTGGCGGAGGTCTCCATGAACGCACAGGCGAATTGTCGGGCAAGGTTGACGCCCTGCTCTTTGCCCACTACCCTCTCGTCCTCCAAGTCGCACTTGTTGCCTACCAGCACCATTGGCACGTCATCTGTGTCCTTTACCCGCAGGATCTGCTCCCTGAGGTCCTGCAGGTCGTTGAACGTTGACTGCGCCGTTATCGAGTACACTAACACGAATCCCTGACCGTTCTTCATATAAAGGTCCCTCATGGCTGTGAATTGTTCCTGCAAACGCAAACAATCTGTTAATTCTGGGATTCCACGCTCAGATTTATCTATAACGTTATTTTATTTTATTCTGTGGACAGGAGAATACGATACAAGAAACTTTGTATAGGCGATTGAAAATTTATTAAGAGAATGGGATATTTGAGAAAGGAGGAGGAAGATTGATTTTGAATGGGAGAAAAGGAAAGAAGGAAAAGAAGAGAAAGATAGAAAGATCTGTTAATCTGTTGATTCTTTGCTAATAGGGATTCTATGCTTAGATTGATCTATAACGTTATTTATATTTATTTTGTGGACAGGAGAATACGATACAAGAAACTTTGTATAGGTGATTGAAAATTTATTAAGAGAATGGGATATTTGAGAAAGGAGGAGGAAGATTGATTTTGAATGGGAGAAAAGCAAAGAAGGCGTGGAAACAGCTGGCAGACGAACTGCTGGCAGAAAAACTCACCGTTCCGGCTGTGTCTAGGATTTCTAACATACATTGTTGTCCGTCGACCTCGACCTGTTTGCGGTAGCTGTCCTCGATCGTCGGATCGTACTTCTCCACGAAGATTCCTTGAACGAACTGGACAGTGAGGGCAGATTTGCCTACACCTCCACTACCCAACACCACTATTTTATATTCACGCATCTCCTTGCCCTAATTCTCTGTGCGCCTGGTCACAGCCGAGGGGTCACCGAATCCGCCACGTTTTTGCTCCTCTCGTTGCGTTCAGTCGAACGGATCTGCAAACAGAAAAGGAAGTTCCATCTTCACCTTGGCTCGGTAATGATTAACGATACGTGATCATTTGACAGAGGGACGACGACCTTTCGAGCTTTCGGTCTTTGACTGCGAGGCTTGTTTACATTCTGCAGTACATATGGACTGCGGATTTTATGCACTCAGGACGTACAATAATATATAAAACATATTACGTTTTCCCAAAAGTTTCTTCCATTTCATTAATAAGTAATACGTACACAATACTTTACGTCTAATCTTACATTATTAAATTGCGTACGATTCATTTTGCTCCATTACTGTTATACAATATTAACATCTAAGAAATTAGGTTGTCCCCAAAGTTTCTTCCATGACTTGCGCTCAATTATTTTCTGTGGCAGTGTTTATATAAATAGACAACCTAATACATAAGATACATATTTCATTTAGAATTTGTATTTGTTTAAACTTTGATATTACCCACGAAACATATCGACGAATTAACTGTAATTCCCAATGAGATTCTCGAACACTGGATTAATTTAAAGTTCCACTTGGAATATCACGATAAAAACTGGAGGTAATCGCGTCGGTCTAATTTTAATTTTTCCATTTGGAATCCATAAGGCGAGAG